TTTTTTTTTTTTTTTTTTTTTTTTACAGCGAAGGTAGGGAAATGGTACGCGTCTCGTTGCTAGGTCCACAACCTTCACCGACAACACCCGGCGTATTTCAGGTGCAGCCTATCGCGATATCGAGGACTCAACCGATCGACATGGACACCGTTCCGGCCGAACTCCTGACCACGCACACCGAACACACAGCTCCCGCCTATCACACGCAAATCAGGTAAGCTCTTTTTCTTTCTTTTTCTTTTTCTCGCCTCGCCTCGTTCCGTTTCGCTTCGTTTCCTCTAGTTTTATACTTACGCCTTCTCGGTTACACCGACAAATTATCGATTATCACGGTGTATGCCTCCCTGCAACAAATACGGTTATTTTTTTCACTATTAGAAGCGGTATATACACAGTGATGGTAATCGGAGAAACTTGTTACACTTTAAGCAGAACAAAATGATGTTACGATCTTTTACGCATCGTTTCTTTTCTAATTCGTAAATTCGCTCGACCTTGTAAAAAACAATCGGAAACAATTGGAAGTTTTGTAATGGGAAGAGGAATGGAATTAGTTTTTAAAAAAAAATATGTTATTATGAATTATGAAATTGTTATTCGTTTAAAAGAAAGTAATAATAATTAGTAATCATTAAATTCTTTCTTCCATTTGTAAAAGAAAAAAATACTAAGTTTTCACCAATAATAATCAAGAATTTAATAAAAAATTTTTTAATAATAAAAATTTATTATTATTATTATTATTAATTTTAATATGATGATAAATTGTTTAATAATCAAGAATTTGATCTGTCGTTACATGCCAAGAGGAAAGTATATCCGGATCCTTTATTCTTGTTGCACAAAAAATTAATCAAAATATGTTTCACAATCTCTTTTAAATAATTAGAAAAAAAAAAAAATGGATCATCTCTTGCTTCAAGTTTATGAAAAAGATCTGATCGAATGAGAGCCACTACCTTTCTTATAATTAGCTCCCTGCACACAACACTAGTGACCCCCGTGTTGCTCTTAATGGACCGGAAGTGACGTGCCTTCCCCTCAGTCTGCACGCTTTTCTCCGTCTTTCTCTTTCTCTGTCGAACGTTTACCAATTTACGTTTCTTACGCTACAGAATGTTGTACAGAATATGGACCGTAGATTAATCGTCGGTGAGGTAACAACGCATTCACGCGTGCGCCTCTCTATTGCGACGCGATCGTTTTATGAATCAT